ATTTATCACCATTGATCAAAATCTTGTTGTTCAAGAAGAAATGACAGATGATGAGATTGTGAAAATTGTAAAACAGCAATCAGAGAATGAAGATGACAATGAAACAGACGAACCTGAGCCAATAGTTACTGATAGTGAAACCATAAAAGGTTTGGAAGTAGCACTTAAATACGTTCAACAAAAGTGTAAGGAAATTTCTCATAAAAGTTTTCAAGAAAAAGTACAAACAAGGATGGAGGATTATTTTATGAATGAATAAATTGTTGATTTTTGTATAAACCTTCATACTTCAGAGCTGATTAAAGTTCCCGATTAAGCCAAATCAAGCTGAGTTTGTACTTGGCTCAAACTTGGCTAGGCTCAAATATTCGTGTTTGAACATAAAAGAGCACTAGTACTAGCTCAAAAATTTAATATTATTTTTAGTACATTTAATAATTTTATGACAGTAAAAATTTCATTCAAGATTCCATGTTTTAACAATATTCTGCTTCTATTAAAAATGTTTTTAAATATGAACTTGTTTTTAATTAAAAATTCATTGAAATGAGGTTTGACTGTATAAAATTGCTCAGATAATTAAAACGAAATGTAAAAACGTTCAAAAAATCTTTATTGTTATTGAGTTGAGCTAGAGTTTCTACTCTTACATATTCTTATTCGAATTATTCGTAATTATTCAATTTTCAATGTAATAGTAATTCGAAGCTATTTATGATCGTCGTACAAATTAACCAATAAATTTATAAATTTAAAAATTAGCCAATCACAGAGAAATTTGGATACTCCTGTTCCGTGCTACACGATCAACCCTATTTTTATTGGCTGTAGGGATGGGAACAGTTCAACCCAAACCGGTTCAACTGGCAGTTTGGTTTACACATTACAAGTAGGGTTTCTATTCGAATAAGGTTTATTCGAATTATTCGTTTTATTCGTTATTATTATTATTATTATTATGAATTTAAGTATTCGAATTACATGAATAAAACTAATAATTCGAATAAAATGTACAACAACAATAATAATAATAATAAAATTAATAATAATAATTCGAATCCAATTAAAAAATTTTTTTCTTTATCAACCTATTTTTCCTTAGTCCTTGAATATAGTGATGATAATAAATAGTAGTAGTTGACATTTTCCTTAAGCCATAGTACTAGCAATTATAGTAGTAGTAATATAGATTATAATTATTGCTTATATTAATATTACCTTTTTAAAGAAATAAGACCTATATTTTATAAAATGAA